TTGTGCAGTATACAAATTACAAATCTAAACAGTTCACCTTTCATGTGACTTCCGTAAGTCGTACATGGTTTTTACTAACCTGCTTGTGTATTATTTAGTATTTTATTTTAAACTACAGTGTAATTACTTGTAGGTACAATTTATTCGACAAAGAATTAAAACTATTGCGAGAACCAAGTAAACATAGCTATCTTACGAGCAAACAATCACATTCAAACCCTCATTACTCAAATCATGTAAGTTCTGTATACCGTTTAAAATCCCTATAATCCCTATAATCCTATATTTCGTGGAAGCGTGAAAAGCTGTTTACGAGGTAGCTGCCTCATGAAAAATGGAAGGAAGGTACCCCAATGACTCCAGTCTCAAACACCTATTACTATAGGTATAATATTGACAATAATGAATACCTAATGAGGAGCAAGTCCATTGATGAAAGACTACTACCACCTACAATAATCAAACATTCAAATCTTCATGATTCATAACATATCAAGTAAGCTTTGTAGTGATATTTATCTCTCTGTACTTTGTAGTATTAATTAATTTAGTGTTTTAGTTCTAGTCAAGAGGGAACAATAGTGAGTGATGTAGGAATGTGCCTGAGCCTCGAGGAGATAACCTATTTGGAAAAATAAGAGCTTAGTTTTGGATAAACAAGGTAAAGAATATTAAGAATATCTTGGTACTAACATTGACTTTTCAACTATGATTCAGCTCATACATCTTCTTTGGACAATCACAAGTTTTTATTTTCAGCCAATTAATTTTTATCCTTACTGTTAATTTTTGTATATTTAACTGTTATTGGTGTTTTATTTACTTATTTTTTAACAAAAACATATTATGGATAGAATTTATTGACAAAGTGTTAACCATTTTATTATTTTAATACATTATACAGACATAAATTTTCTAAATTTCGGTGCTGGTCTAGTTGACCTCCGCCAGGAAGGCAATTCCCCCGCCACTCAAGTTTAGTTGACGCCCGCCACTTACATTTTGTATTTTCGATAACCAATAATTCATAATTTATACAATATTATACATTTATTAAAAATTATACAATTATGAACAATTCAAGCGATCAAAATAAAAATATATAAAAAATGTGGTAATACTTCATAATATTATATACCGCACCTGCTGTGATACCTATCTTATATAATTCATTTTACTACACGGATTGTACCAAACATAATTCTTAAAATATCTAATTAGAGAATTTCACACAAAACCTAACGTATATGATTTCGTACCTTTTTTATCCGCACTCTGCAGTATATCAGTAATATATACATTTATAACATCAAAATACGAGAGATGTAGGTAAGTGGCGAGCGTCAACTAAACTTGAGTGGAGGGGGAATTGCCTTCCTGGCGGGTCAACTAGACCAGTACCTAAATTTCAAACACAATTTATTTAAAAGATATAATTTAAAATAATAGTTTTATTAATATAGTTTTAAGTAATACTTCTAGTTTTAATAATATTTTGAATAATTTGTTTTTCTAATAATATTGAAGGTGTCTATTCTATCAAATATCTAGGAATATATATTAAGTCCCAATTAAAATAGAGCATACATATAAACCATATCATAAATTTAGGTCGTAAATTCTTTTATGTTTTTAAAGGCAAATTTATTTCAAAGAAATATTACTAAGGTTTATTCTTGATAAACAACAACTTAGAATTATTTATGTTTTCTTCATTCAATCAATAATTGTATTTGGTATTGATGTACCTATGAGGTGGTGCTTATGAAATCCGCTTGAACAAATTAAAATCCACTATAAATAAATTTATTAAATTTATTTTAAAAGTTCCTATTCTTACTTGTACTAAATTTATTATTAAAGAATTAAATATCTTAGATTTTGATAAGATTCTCACTAAATGTATTTTACTATTAAGTTTTAAGCATCAAACGTATTTACCAACTTATTAATAATAATATTTATTGGCCAAAGATTGAATATTAATTACATAGTTAAATGGCCCATCTCACCACTGAGGATAACCTCTTATCGGTGATGATGGAGTATTATTTAAAGATGAGTTTGAATTTATAAATTTTATAATATTTTCAAAATGTTTTGTATAAACTGCATCATATTTCACTATAATTCAAAACCATAAACTTGTAAGCATAATAATACATAACTATAATACCAAATTTAAAAAAATATATAAATACTACAATTGTAATTAAAGTTGCCTAAATCATAAAATTTTGCTTAGTAGGAAAATGGTAATAAATATTAATCAATTCACTTATTTATTATAAACATATTTTACAATTTTCTATAATGAAGAAGATTAATTTAGTATGAATTTTTACGAAATACAATGTATATATAATTAATATTATTTAAGTATTAATCAAGTATTTATAGACATTTTTTATTACTTTGTAACTATATTATGAACTCAAGCATTAGCTTAAACCAAAACACTGGACCCCGTCAACATAATATTGTACTTGATTATGTTATTTACTGTAAAAGTATATGCTATGTATTATTATTATTATATTATTTTACTATAATTATTAATAGAAAATATATATTTCATTTCGTTTATCAAACTCAGATTATAGTTGTATCATAATTCATTGCAAATATTTTTTCAGGTAGGTAATAATCTGTTCTGTTTTATTACAATAACCGAATCGCGAAAATACCAAATATACAGACAGCGTTAAATTATTATTATTATTATATTTACCTAATAGGTATTGTAATTTTTTAATATAAATTAATTGGAATACCAACTGGATAATTATTTTCAATTTAATACTGCTATTTTTTAAATATAAAGATTTGACAAAGATTAACACTGGACCTCATTGATTTATTATTTTAACCTTTAGGACTCCAATAGAAATTACTTGCCGACCTCTGGCTTATAGAATGTGTGCAAACAATCATAATTATAATAACTGTTTGCTTGTAAATATATATTCAACTATTAAACCATGTTTGTAAAATTAATTTACATGTTAAAATATATTATTCTACATAATTATATCTAATAATCATATATATATATATATATATCTAAATCTCTAAATGTATTGCTGTGTAGGGATAACAAACCTGGGTAGCTATAACAAACCTGTACCGAACTTGTTTTTAATTGAGTTAAGTTTGAAATTTTTTTTATATTAACTTTAAATTGATAATTTGCTCCACTTAAACACAGTATGTTACAATTTTTGCGCCCTGGGTAACCATATTTTTAAGCCCCAACCCCACCAAAAAATAGATCCACTTTTTTGATTTTTCTTAATACACTTTAATTGTCAATTCGTCATGTTTTAATTACTATTATTAAAATGTAGGTATAAGGTATAACAAAATATAGTATATTATTATACACAGTAAAAAAAATCTACAAAAAAGAATATAATAGGTATAATGATTATAATTTTTTTTCAAAATATTACCCCATCAAATTAAGGTACAAATCATAGTACAAGTTCTTTCCAAAAAAATATTTATTGTTACAATATTACACTGGACTACAGAGCCACAGCGGTGACCAGCTGCCCCCCTAAATATTTGGCCGCAAATGTCCCCGTTGCCCCCCTCATAAATAGCATTACATAGCATTCCATGTGACATCTCCACCACACAACTTAATTTTTTCCATGATACACACTTACAGTCACAAATTAGATATCCAATAGACAACAGTAAACATTTTTTCACAGTTGGTATTTTCAGTTAGTATACCCTATAAAAATAGGAATAATTTCAATGTTTGCAAAAACTTGGTATGTGATATAGAAATATAATACATAGCATTTAATCTGTAGTATTAGTATATCAACTAAAATTGATTTGCACTTATAACTTTTTACCCACTTAGATCTCTTAGTGCACTTTTTCCTTCTAGCACTTTTTCCTTTAAAAAATAAAACAGAATTTTTAAAAATTGGCACTAAATTTTCACAGTAAGTTGAGAAATATCTACTAGAGAATACAAATATATTAATGATTTATTCTTCAAGGTACATGATTATAATATTAAGTAAATAGAAAAAAATAATTGAAAACTAACACTTTTGAGAATTTGATTTTCTTTAAGACAATTCTACAGGCCAAGTATACATTATAAATATTGCAATTATTCAAGTAAGTTATAAAAACATGACAAGAAATATTACCATCTTTACCAAAGACTAAAATTGAAAAAAAAATAAATGAAGAAGTTAGAAAAATGATGGGTGACATTTTTGCTTGTATAGAACCAGAGTTGATTGGATTTATTCAATATCATGAAAGAATGGATAGCACGTAACTATGATTATAAATCTTTTTTATTTTAATTTTTTATATATATACTATATTATTTTAGTTATTCAATGGCTGTGTTAGTAAGACTGGGCCGTCATGTTATGTCTGCTAATGATACCGGCTCCTTTTTAAGTATGACTTATGGGTCTGCATTAGTTCATGTAAAAAGAAATTATGATAAACTCATGCACGCTCACTTAAAATCAATTCAAGAAGTAAGGATTGTTAAAAAGTCTAAATGTGGCATACTTCCTTTTGTTGCCAACTTTGAGGTAACTACAATATTGTTTGTAATTTTTGTTGTTAATTTGACATAATTTTAAAGCTGTCATATAATTTTTTTTTATTGTTTACTATTAATTTTTGTAGTATTTTGCCAAGACAGCTGAACAAATATTTAAAGAAACAGAGCGTCGAACTGATTTAGATAAATGGTATCTTAAACTCTTAACTGTAATGTTTGAAACTATTCATTCAATTGCCAGTGAACACCCTAAGACTCCCGCCGAAGTTATCAGAATGGGTAAGAACCATAAATAGTTTTAAATTTAAACTAAATTAATACTAATAGTTCATTCATGGATTTAGAGAACTTTCACCATTTATATGCATTGCTGTTTCAATTAAAAATTGGTATATTAGATCAATTCAGAAAAGATGCAAAACAAAAGTATAGTGAGGCATTAAGTGCTTATGTAACACGTTATTTTGGTAGACCGCTCGAAAAACTGAATGTGAGTACTGACTTTAATTAATTTATACTATGAAAAGTTTATTTTGTTTTACATCTAACATACTTCTTCATTTTTAACATTTTGTTTAATGTTTAGTTATTCTTTGAGGTTGAAGCTAAGGTTTCACAAGGTATAAAAGAATCAGAAGTTGGTTATCAAGTGGCTTTCAGTAAACAAGAATTAAGGAAAGTAACTAAAGAGTATCATGGACGAGAGGTGAAAAAAGGCTTCGATCATTTATATAAAAAAGTAGAAAAACACCTTAGTGAAGAAGAAAATTTACTACAAGTAAATATTATTAATTGTTAATTATGTAATTATATAATTATTTGTTATTCATCATAAACCATTGTTTATTTTTGAACCACAATATTATTTTATTATTTGCATTAACTATATTTTGTACTTATTAATATACCCAAGACTAAACAGTAAACAATTTTGTTTTGGATTCTGAGAGGAGCAATGATTTTACAATAATGTGTTCTTTTAAATTTTTTTATTGTTTGTGTGTGTACACTACAAGTAGTTGAAATAATGTTTTGATTTTCATCTTCAGTATCTTGTTTGATGGAAAAGTGAATCTAGTTGGTGCATTGCATCAAGGATGTCAAAGTTTAAAATTACCAGTATTTTTCAAAAACGCCAGAAAAACAAAAAAAAAAAATAAGAAAAAACGTAAATTTTTACGCTAAATCTGTTTTTGACAAAATTGATTTTGGTTTTTGGTGTAACTCGAAAACAAATGAGCATAAATACATAGAATTTTTATTGAATATTTATATTGACATTTTCTATACACCATAAAACTTTCAATATCTTTTGATTCGTTTTGAGCTGTTTACGGCCATTTCCAATTTTCAATTTTTTGTTTTATTTTCTATAATAGTCAATACGATTTTATTTGTTGAGTCAAAAAGTATGAAAATTTAATTCAAGGTTCCTGATATATTAGTTACTTTAGCAGTTGAAAATATTAAAAATTCATACACACAATTTTTTTTCACAAGCATTGAAAGTTTGAATTTTGTCAAAATTAAAAAATTATGTTGTAGTTAAAAATTTACAAAATATTCAACTTTTATAGCTAAGGATTGAAAATTTATAATAAGGTTCCACGTAAATAGGTTAATAAATTACTGAATTTACAATAATATCATCAAATATACTTAGTAATATCAATGGCTGACCGACTGTCTTCGCTCAGAATCGTTTTTCATATACAATGATATTATATCATTGAGTTCAAATTTAACACCATCCATTAGAGTGATCCACTGTACAGCAGAACGGCACACACTTGCCTACCTTTTTTACCTTTATAATAAAATAAATGTAATTTAATCTATATTATAATTTTAAAATTTTTTCAGGTGGTTTGGAGAGCTATGCAAGAAGAATTCATTCAACAATATAAATATATTGAGGACTTAATTCAAAGGTGCTATCCTGGTTCCATGATTTCATTAGAATTTTCCATTGAAGATCTATTACAGTATTTCTCAGAAATTGCTAGATCCCATTAGAATATTTAAATATTATAATCAAAAATATAATATAACATAACATGTTTAAACTTTAAATTGATAATCTATTGTATTATCATTTTATCTATTTTAATTTTAACTTATTTATAAATTACATTATTTTGAGAAAACATTTTAATTTTGTTAAAAGTTATGTTCCCAAGCCTTTCTATTATACTTTATCCCTTTTTATATTATACAATGTAAATTGTAATTATGTTTAACGTTTTGAAAATTATATATTTCTGAGCATAAAATACTGTATGTATTAAGTGTTATAAATATTTTTATAATAAAAAAGTCATGAGTACTCAACATGTTTTTGAAGGTATAATATGTAGCTAAAAAAATATCATTGGTTGTTGATAAACCAATGTGTGTACAATAAGTAAATTTAATAATATGACGCGGTGAATGAAGAACAAATGAGTAGGCATTTCACATTAGAAATGCCTGATATTTTTTTTCACTTTTAAAAATATTTTTATAATTTCTTATAAGTATAACAATGTATTTATTTTAGGTTGGCTGCGTAGTGTGTATGCTTAGAATGCGTTTACCTATATTGTATTATGTTCAATAAAATTATATAAACTGATTATCAATGAGAATAATTAGTGATCATTTAATATTTATGTTTCTCGTGGTATTCACAGTAGCCTCTAATCCAGATGGTGCAACGTGGTGGGGCTTAGGGGACGGTTAGTCCCCTGAGTATGATTTAGCCAGCCCAAAATTATCAATTATTGGTTTAGATATAAGCCCTATGGGTATTTTTAATTAACAGTCTTGTTAGGTGGGATGTAGCCCCCCCAGAATTTGAACCCTACTATCCTAGTGTGGTAGATTGTATATCTACTAATTTATTGTTAGGTACGTATGAATAAATTAGACTAGTTGACTCATGCTAGCAAGTATATAATTCTTAGTAATGAAACTGCATTTACATTGCAGACCACAATCATTTCTGTAAAAGAACAAACGATTTATCAATAGACCGTTTATGTGCTGAGTGTAGAAGTTCTATGGATTTATCATATTAAAAAATATATTTTATATCATCTATGGCAATCGCCAATTGTCGACATTCGTCTGCGACGATTAACAATTCTAATAATTTTAGTGAAAAAAAAAAATAATAAGCCATCAATATGGACAGATAGTTCGTTAAGCCGTATATATTATTATGTAAGTTTTAACACGAATTCGCACATTTCGTCATGTTCAGGTAATTTTCATAAAATATTTCGATAATTTCAAGTTACAGTTCGGAACGAGATGAAGATAGCTGTTTCTTCGGTGGCGTCACGTACTGGACGTTTGCATTGTTGATGATGCACTCTAGCTAGGTTTCACCGGGAGAGTCGATGTTTCAGCGTAAGTTTGTTTTCATAATTTCATATTATTTTGGGATTTACGTTTTATTTTTAGGCATTTTAATAATTAAAAACATAATATAACGTAATGTTGTAGTAGAAGCTGGAAACTGTAGTAGGTACCTATATTCTAATTAATAATCCAATTAATGTAATTTTTTGAATTTTTTAAATTTTAATGTAACATTTATTATGCCTACACAAAACACTTACCTACCAAAATTGAATTTTTCACAAAATTTGTTGTTTTAACGATAAATTACAATTTTAGTTCCCTATTATGGTGAAAGTATTTGATACAAACAAAAAATTAATGTTCGAAAATACAATTTCCTATATTATCTATTTACTAAATACAAAGAAACTTAAAAATAAAACTATGATCATTGATTACATACAGAGTACCTGCAATATATTATGCATGGAACACGAAGGTTTATTTTGACTATACCTACTTATCGTGTACGCATCAAACACAAAATAGAAATAATAAAAAAAAAATTAAAAATTAAAAATTAAATAGACATCATAAAAAAAACAAAATATTCATCTCTCCGCTCAGAATCTAAAATATAAATTATAGGTACCTACCCGACAAAATTAAATTAACATAATATTAAATAATAATTAATCATTTTGTGATCAGCAGTATTCGTAGGAAATGTTAGACTTGGAATTTTACTAATCTAGTTGGTATTATGGTAGGTACTGTAAATTTAATGTACTTAGGCACTTTATATCTTTATGTTAACTATAAAATCCAGGAATCACATTTTCATTTAATGATTTTTAAAATACAATATTATGCTTTTATAAAAATATGCTTGTACTTCTGAAATATATTCACCATATTAATAAATAATTAAATTAAGAAACGAAAATAATAATTAAAATATATTATATTTAATATTATTATAATTGAAATTAAAAACTATAAGCTATTTTGATTTTTGTCATAATATAAAATTTCAGCGAACAAATATTGTTCCTTAACACGGAACTCTTTGACATAAAAAGTTGCGTTACCTATATGATCTCCGTGGATTCATCTTATTCACGTACCTAGTATGATATCTATCATTTATATTCCATGGCAAATCGCAATGTCATTGCAGAAGACACAGTCGTCATTAAAAATTCCAAAATTTCAATAAGCAAAGCAGATACGACCAAAAAACTTACTGCGTTCAGTATAATTTTATTTTTTATAAATCACAATATTTTAAGTTCTGTATTCTGGAGCGTGTTTCCTCGTCGGTATCGCAGTGAACACAAGTAACGGATTCAGCCGAAAGAATCAATGTTTAAAGTAAATTTGTTTTCATATTCTTTTGGGGCTTAAATTTACTTTTAAGAATTAAGATAAATATTTAATGTCAGGAAAAATGTGTTATTGCAATAATACATGTATACGCATATTTTATAAATTGTTTTTCCAGTCCCCGGTCGTAGGATAATTGTAATTAATAGGTGAATATGAAAATTGTTTACTTGAAAAAGACATATGTTTTGGTTTAATTTATAGAAATATAATATGTTTTAACTGATAATAGTCATAAAATACAATTTTAATTTATAACTGGTCATTTTTTTTTCAAATCCAACGTTATAAGTTATGGGTAACTATTAACTTAGTGTAACATACCTACTCAACTTCTATTGCTCACCTAATATCTATATCATAGGAAGTAGGGACGTATAACCATGTACACATAAAAGTTCACGAATGGTCAACTGCATGTCTGCATATCCTCCCGTGTGCGCACTTATGAATAATATACTGATATATTCGTATATATATAAATATAGTGTAATACGTACACGAATGCGTCCCTAAAAATTCAACAGTTATTATTATATTAATTTATTTTTTACATATAGGTGGGGGTACATTACAAAACTAATTAAAATCACATTTTTTTTTATTTTCTCGAATACAATGTTTCAAAAATTATTAATTAATATATAATATATTGGTATATAGTATTAAATTAATTAATATAATTATTAATAATAATAAATTCATTTATAAATTATAAAAATACAAACGAAAAACGAAAATTTTTTACAAGAATCATATAGGTACACATCATTGTAAAATCAAAACATTCATTGCTCCCGTAGTCGGCTCTAAAAAACAAACTAACACATAATAGTTAAGTAGGTATAATACAGATTAAACATTATACATATAAAATTTAATATCTGTAACGCTTAGGTCATAAGAATATTGTTGTATATTTTACTGCATTCTGCGTGTTTTTTTCAGAAATGGTATTTAATTCGTCAGTGAAGATTTGTCAACTGGGAATAATATACCATAAGCAGTTAGCAGACTGAAATGTGTGAACGTTGTAGTATTTCGAAGACTAAGTTTTATAGCAGATTTTGATTCGGACACGGGGTATGTATTTTCTTATTTTTCAGTAGGTTTATTTTTATTATAGTTAATCGATCAGGGTTGTATTACCCGAAACTTTTCAATTATTTGTATTGTTACCTACTATACTGGTATAACACTATTCTGGCTATCAATAAAGTCGTGATAAAAATTAGGAAATTGGTCAGGTATGATATTTTTTGGTATGTAGGTACTAATTCTTTTGAGTAGATAATTCGTTCAATTATTTAAATATTTTCACCGATAATCAAGTACGATGACTTGTAGGTAACTAGAGACTGAGTGAATAGGAATTAGGAAGTGTATGATGAGGCGAAGATAAGGCAAGAGGTCAACAGGATTTCAGGATGTTTGGCGTATGAAAGGGAAATGCAAAAAAGAAATGTTAGGATAGGGTAGGTAAGTGGAGTGAGAGTATCAGATATGAGAATGTCAAGTTGAGTGTGTGATGGGTAGATAGAATACCGATGATATGGAGGTGCAGGAAAAGAAGGTGGCTGAACGTGTATAGTTGTGTGAGGAGGGGGAAGAAAAAGTGTGAAGGTAGAATAGTTAGGTTGACAATACCGAATACGTAGGAAAGGATCTCGAATTGCAAAGGCCACTCGACTCTTTGGCTGAAACTACCGGCGGTAGGTTTACAACCTAGACTTATGGGATAGAATAAAAAGATCGGTTGGTTGCCGGTTGGGATGTCAGTGCACTATTTGTTTCCATCTTTGACCCACGCGAAGTAACATCATAGGCGCTATTGGGGGATGGGGGGTTGTCTAGGGGGCGGGCTTATAGCCTAATAAAAAAATTATGCGGATCTGTATTGATTTCATGAAGTAGCCAACGCGTACTACATATCGAAGTACGTTGGCTACTTTATGGCATTTTAATTAATTAATTATTATAATATAAGTTATGACTTATAAGCGTCTAAATAATTAAAATTTAAAATGCTTATAAATAATTAAACTAATTCAAAGACACACAAAAAAAATAATATTTAATGTCTACTAAAAAAATTACAATATATATATATCTTAATAATTAATAAACAGTTGGGCAACTATTGCTTAAACGGAGGCTGTAGTCATCACCAGCTGATATTAAACGAAAAGTAAGGCATGAGGGCGTTACCCCCACACCACTATAAAAATATTAATTTGAAAATATAAAAACTATATAAAAAAAGAAATTTCTTATTTTCAAGTTTGATTCTTCACAATAATATA